TCTTCTCTCTACCTTTCAGAGTCTTCCTGTATTTGTTTTGTAGGTGAGTGGAATGTTTAAGGTTTTTGGTTGTACTTACTGGAAGAAATAGGGAAAAGTATGTCCTCCTAAATTGCATTTTTCCCCACATGATAGAATGTTAGAAACTATAAGGGAAGAGATTTTTGTTTTATTCACTACTATATGCCCAGGAATTATGACAGTGCCTGGCATAGGGTAGGTACTCAATAAATATTAGTTGAATAAATAAATGAATAAATGCATTTATAGTTGATCTATTACATTATGGTTTTGAATGAGTATTCTAAAATTTAAATAGCTTAGTGATGGATGAGTAAGATTGCAAGAAAGACAGTGATAAATGATGATAGAATTGGCAAGTTAAAAAAAATCAACTGGTTTTCCTCTCTGTATGACATAAAAGAATTAGAATTTTTGAAACTACCCATTTCACTTTGACTAAAACTGACTCTGTTATATAAATTTATAAAAAACAGAAATTAATTTCTCATAGTTTTGGAGGCTAGGAAGTTCAAGATCAAGGTGCTAGTAGGTTCAGTGTCCAGTGAGGGTCTGGTCTCTCCTTCCAAGGTGGCACCTTGAATGCTGCATTCTCCAGAGGAAAGGAACACTGTGTCCTCACATGGCAGAAGGTAGAAGGGCAAAACAGGACAAACTCTCTCCATCAAGCCCTTTTATAATGGCATTAATACATTAATGAGGGCAAGCCCTCATGACCTAAACACCTGCCATAAGGCCCTACCTCCCAATACTGTTGCACTCGGGATTAAGTTTCCAACTCATGAATTCTGGGCATAGCATTCGTATAGTTTTTGGGTTTTGGTGTAGTGAGAACACTTAAAATATACTCTCTTAGAAAGTTTCAAATATTCAATATATTGTAATTAATATAGTCAATATAGTCACCATGTTGTACAATAGATCTCTTGAACTTATGCCTCCTATCTAACTGAAACCACGTATCCTTTGACCAACACATCCCCAAGACCCGCTGGTAACCATCATTATTCTACTCTACTTCTTTTTTTTTTTTTTTTTGTCTTTTTTGTGACTGGTAAGGGGATCACAACCCTTGGCTCGGTGTTGCCCGCACCGCGCTCAGCCAGTGAGCGCACCGGCCATCCCTATATAGGATCCGAACCCACAGCAGGAGTGCTGCTGCGCACCCAAGCGTCGCACTCTCCCAAGTGCACCACGGGGCTGGCCCTCTACTCTACTTCTATAAGTTCAACATTTGTAGATTCCACATATAAGTGAGATCAGGCAGTATTCGTCTTTATGTGTTTGGCTTATTTCACTTAACATAATGTCTTCTAGATTCATCCATGTTGTTGCAAATGACAGGATTTCCTTTCTTTTTCAGGGCTGAATAATACTCCATTTTCTGTGTGTGTGTGTGTGTGTGTGTGCACGCGCGCACACACACACCACATTTTCTTTATCCATTCATTTGTAGATGCACTTTAGCCTATCTGAAGTATTTCACTCAGCTCTGAGTACCAGATTTTAAGAGCAATACTAACAAATCAGTAATAAACCAGTAGAATAACTGAAACTGTGGTGGTTCCAGAAGATTGGGGAAACTGGGGATAACCTACCTGGGCAAGACACAAAGAGGAACTGAGGGAAAGGGTTACATAATAGCAATCTTTTAATAGTTATTATGCTCACATTAGAAAATAGTAGCAGAATGGGCCGAGCCTGTGGCGCACTCGGGAGAGTGCGGCGCTGGGAGCTCAGTAGCGCTCCCGCTGCGGGTTCGGATCCTATATAGGGATGACCGGTGTGCTCATAGCACTCACTGGCTGAGCACGGTGTGGCGGCCTCAAAAAGGACAAAAAAAAAAAAAAAAAGAAAAAAGAAAATAGTAGCAGAAAAAAAGACCAAAGCACAATAAGCTAGGTTGACTTCACATACATAAAATTTTCTAACAATCTGAACTGTCGAAAAATGTGACAGTCTGCTTTACTCAGTTCCCAGAGATCAGCAGTGATAAAACAAAGATTATATATGTCCACCACTAAGAAAGACTGTTGAGTAGATTGCTTCAGTAGGAGAGAGACTAGAATAGAGTAGTACTTCAAAATACCCAACTTCCCCACCCTGGCTTCAACAAAACATTCCACTTATATATCAGGCTTTTGCTGTGGCTTTTATTAGGGGAGAGGGAGTGAGGTAAAGAGAAGTATTATGCCTTAAAATAAAATTCAAAAATTACTGAACTGAACAACCTGAGAGCTAAGGTCTCTTTCAATTGTAATATTCTGTGATTATCTCCTACTTCTTAGCTATATTCCAGAAAAGTAAGATCATCATCTTATTGAGGGATTACTGAAAATAGGATTAATGTATATGATTTTAAAAGCTTCCTTTTCTTTAATAATGGGGCTTTTAGAGTGAATTAGGTAGATAATAGGTTTGGCTCTTCACTTTACCTGTGTCAGCACAGACTATATTGTGTCTGGGGGAGATTTTATCTTTCTCTGGAAAAATTTAATGTTTAAACTAAATGCCCTTTTACTTCAAAAATAAGCAATAACTAGAGAAAAGCAAATCTTACAAAGCCATGAAGTTATACCTTTTAAATTTGTACTTCAATAAAAAAAATCAGAAAAATTAGTTGCTATATAACTAAAATTTAAGTGAAAACAGTGTCCTATCAAAATAATTACAGAACTTCTCCAAAAATAAAAGTAATTTGTCATATATTAGAGTACTAAAAAATGGGAATATATAAAATTCCCAGACACTTGAGTCTTTAAAATACCTCATCTTAAATGTTACAGCTATGATTTCATGACTCATATCAATACCAATCACAGTGACCACAACAGTCAATTTACAGGAACTATTTTTAGAGCATATTTTGAATTACTGGTCTTATCTAGCTTAAAAAATTAACACAAATCTTACTGTATCAGCTTTCTTACTATCTTAGTCACACTAGTAAAATTCTTATCCATGAATCAACAAGAGATTCTACTTTCATTATAGTATTTCTCAGAAATAACATTAATAGATTTGATTGTTAAGAAATAATTCTGAAGGTTTATGATCTATATCTTATTGAGGCACAATTCAAAAGATGGAAGACTGGTGTACAGGAAGGGTCCACTTACACGGTAGTGAGTCTGTCCAACCACTCAGCACGGAAATTTCAACATGGTCTTATTGTTTTCTATTGATACTTTTTAATGTATTCTGGTAGAAAATCAATTCTAAATAGTATAATACATCAAGGGAATCGAGGTCTAAAGATAAAATGCTTGAGAACATTCAGGCACATCAAAGTCTATTGCATTCCATGTGTTTTTTAGGCAGGCATTATTTATAAATTTATATATAAAATTTTTAAATATCATCATCACACAATATAGTAAGCCTGACAATATCTAAAAATACTTGATACTCTTTACTTTTATAAAAACTTTTTTTCTTATAAAAGGTAAAATATTAGTGGCAGAAAATTTAGGAAATACAGAACAGCAAAAAGGAGGGAAAAAACAAACGTTTAAAATGAAAAATAACTGGGCCGGCCCGGTGGCGCACTGCTACAGTGCGCTGCTTAGGAGCGCGGCGGCGCTCCCGCCGAGGGTTCAGATCCCACATACAGACCGGTTCCCGCTCACTGGCTGAGCGAGGTGCGGGCGCAACACCGAGGGTTGCGATCCTGTTGCCGGTCCCGGTCCAGTACGGGCGCGACACTGAGGGTTGCGATCTGTTGCCGGACACAAAAAAAGACCAAAAAAAAAAAAAAAAAAAAAAAAAAAAAAAAAATTTTA